TGTGAACATTCACAGGATTTCGTAGCAAGTAGATAAAATATTAATATTTTAAAGCATATTGGCAGGACAGATGAAGAAGTATGAATGTGATGACATTTCAGTTTGCTTGTCAGTATGTAAGTCAGATTTTGGCAATTTCTTGTCCATCTGACACGTAAGCTATATCAGTGTAGATGAACAAATGGGCATACCGTGGCTATATCTACATTGCATCCTCCTTGCGCAAAAGCCTATGCAAATGAAGAGTGGATTAGCATATTGCTGTGCTTCATTTGCATAGTTCATTAGAGGCCGTTTTTGCGCAAGAGGCTTTTGCGCAAAAAGGAGTTGTCTACACAGCTCGTTTTTGCGCAAAAACCCCTCTTGTGCAAGAGCCGTTCTTCCTCTTTTTTCCAGCCCTTCCCAACCCAGTGAAAATGAGTGAGTCAGTGAAGGTGGGAGAGAGTAAGAGACAGAGAGAGGGGGATGGAATGAGCAGCATGAGATCTCAGAGAATGGGTGGGGCACAGTTGTTCGATGTTATTTGGTCAGAAAGTTGGCAACCCTACCAAATCTGTTTGCTCCCTCTGTCTAGTTATTCTCTTTTGTTATTTAGTAATACAGGATGCTAACAATTAATACACATCTAAGTTGAGATAAACAAAGCATCTAGATTTGCTGCCTACAAATCAATACAGCTGTAATTTCGGTGCACAACACTGACTCTTGGGGTATGTCCACACTGCAGGGCTTAATTTGAAATAAGCTATGCACATTGAGCTACGTCAATTGCATATCTTATTTCAAAATAGCTACACAGCACTTATTTCAAAATAGAGCACTCTTCCTCTGACTTCCTGTATTCCTCGTACAATAAGGGTTACAGGAGTTAGAGTAAGAAGTCTTCCAGCTTGACAGTATTTTGACACGCTTTTGAAATAACTGCCTGCTGTGTAGACATGGACTAAGTTATTTCAGGATAGCACTAGTTATTTCAAAATAGTGTTATAGTGTAGACGTATCCGTAGTGGTGAATCTTATTTATTCCAAACTGTTTCCCATAGCATCTCAAAGAACTATATATTTGCTACCAGACTCCTTTGTTTGAAGGAGACAAGTAGAATGAAGTTTATCAACTTACTTTCTGTTATGAAAATACAGTGGTCACCATTAGAAAAATCAACATTTACCCACAACCATCACACCCATTATATCCCACGTTTTGCACATGGTCATATTGTACTGTCTTACATATTAAAATGTGGTAAAGCAGCTACGAATAAATGTTACTTTTGGGGGGTTTCTTTCTATTCTGGTGAGTAATCTTGCTACATAATTCAAACTGCATTTTAATCATTATTTTACTGATATAAAATACACTCTCATAATATTTCAATGTAAGCATTTAATGATCGTAACACCAAGCTATGGATTTGTATATTTTATCCATCACCTTAAAAAATCCTCAATGTTAATACAAACATGGAATGATCAGCCTGTATTACTTCAGCCAATGACACCATTTTGAATAATCACAGCTTGGAAACAGTTTTAGATGCACTGAGTTTGCTTTAAAAAAAAAAACAAACTCCAACACTGTTAGGGCATTTGATAATCATTTAGAGAAGGGGCTCTCAACCTTCTTGCGGAACCCCCCCTCCCATTCCCAATGTCCAATTAAAAACTCCATGGCCACCTTGTGCCCCAACAACTATTTTCTGAATAACTGCCTGGGGCCCCATATCACAGGAGGTCCCATGAAGCTAAGTTGCTCAGACTTCAGCTTCAGTTCCTGGTGGATACGTAGGAGGGATTTGGCTTTCTGCATGCGTAGGAGGGAGTTGGCTTTCTGTCTGGGCTCCAGTAAATCTAATGCTGGCTCTGCTTGGCAGACATCCTGAAACCTACTCATGACCCCTCATGGAATCCTGGACCCTTGGATGAGAACCACTGATTTAGATGATGAATTACTGTGTTTAAAAAATTGATATTAAAAAAAAATAAAGACACTGAACTCAATTAGTAAAATAAAATTAATTTCAATTAGTTATTTTTTCTGATAAATCCCTTTAATGTCTCACATATTTATTTAAAAAAAATAGGGTTCTCTCTAAGCAAATGATTATGTAATGTTATCTGTTGCACAACTTGAACAAGAAGCGTTTCACAGACAGCAAGAGCTATCTACACAGAGAAAAATATGAACCATATCTAGAAGTATTTTAAACAGTAGTGTTCTAGCTAATCTGTGAAACAAGCTAATGGTGTTTATTGGAATAATACCACTTTCCTTAAGCTAGAAGTAAATGTTAAACTACTAAAGATAAAACAAAACTACTACCTTGTGAGGGTTTCACTGAATTACCCATGAGGCACGTTGTTGGTTAAATCTAAAGATACTTTTAAATTAAAAATATACAGTTACATAAAATGATGCTAAATTAAATCGATTATCTTACGGCAAACAACACCTCTGAAGATCATCTACAAAGTGAGAGCCAAAGCCTGCAGTCGCTATGGCAACAGGATTGGGCCCTTAGTTTCTTCAAAAATTCTGAGTAATACCAAACTAATCCATAAAACAAAAGGAAATGAACCAAACTGCCTCTTCCTCCATGGCCTTCTGTGTCAGGGAGATGCAAACCCTCTTCTCTAAGTGCCAGGAAGTTATGATTTTTCTTTTTGTGGAGTCATGTCAAGTCTTAAAATAAACAAAACAAAACCATAATTTAGTTTTATGCAATACATTGACACTTCCTTTTCCAGTCCTGATCCAAGTCTACACTGGCACTTTATAGTGCTAAAACTTTCTGGCTCAAGGGTGTGGGGAAAAAACCCTCCGTGCACTGTTAGCTACTCCCCTCACAGAAGGTTTACATAGAGCATGGAGAGACTTCTTTCCCAGTGCTTGTGTCATGGCCACACTTTGGGCACATCTACACTACACGGAAGATCAATGCTGCCATGGTCGATCTTCCAGGCTTCGATTTAGTGGCTGTAGTACAGACCTGCTGGATTGAACTCAAGTGGTGCCCCCATTGGTGCCAGTACTCCTGCCAGTTTCCTGTTGTGTGGATGGCAAAGAGACACGATGTAAAATATGTCGACTCCAGCTATGTAATGTACATCAGAGGGCTACGTAAGATACTCAACTCCAGCTATGTAATTTACATCAGAAAGGCTAAGTAAGAAACTCAACTCCAGCTATGTAATTTACATAGCTGGAGTTGAGTATCTTACTTAGTCCTTCTAAAGTAGCAAAGACCAGGCCTTTCAGTTTAAGTGTAGACAAAGCCTTGCTGTGTGTTGAGCACTCACTGACTTGAGTGCTCCAGTGTAATAGTCTTTGTATAGTCCCTTTGGGCCCTAACTTACTGCTAATTAAAATGGAAAATTTAAAGGTCCGATGCTGCTCCCTTTGTTATCCTTTGCCAAATTCTCTTTGATTCCAGTAGGAGTAGAATTGAACCCTATATGGTGGGAGGGGGGAGAACTGGCTACACAATGGCTTCATTAAGGATGATATCTCCAGAAGCACATTTTTTCCATTCATCATAAAGAAGCATGTGAATGTATTTACTTGAATTGAAAATAAACCTGCAATACAAACACAAAATATCCCTGGCTAGCACAGATGGGAAACTCATCCATTTGCTTGAGCAAGCTGATTATTGAAATCCGAGAGATACTATATGGAGTTAATGATATGCTTATAAATGGAAATGATTACATTATTTTTAAGCAGAAAACCTAGATTCCTTAAAGGAATAATAGACAGACATTATTTATGGAACTGTCAGCCATGAAAAAAGAGCAATCACTAGACTGGTGGTTATTCCCAAATGTCAATATTTGTAAAAGGCCAGTGTTTTCTCCGTGCTAAACTGCATGTTTTCTACTGTATTTTTATGTGCCTTTTCCCATAAATATAACAAAATACAGCAAGGTTAATTGCAGGGATGCAGCCTGCAAATTTGATGGATCCATGGGAAAAGTATAGTATATTCCATAGTGCCCCAGCCATCCCGCAGGACAAACTTCCCACTGCCATGCTTTCCACTGCTGCCTTTGGCTAGACCCTTTGTGAACATTTCTTCCTCTGAAAGGCAGGCACAGAAAATCTAGAAAGGATGCTTGTACTGCCACTGACTCCTGTATGGCAGGAGAATTCTGTTGGGTTGCTGGAGGACCGTCCATGGAGAGCTGAAGTTTCCAATATCCAAACTGCCCTCTTACCCCCTGAATGAGCTTTCTGCCAAACCTGTGGGACCCTGGACCAACAATGTTCCTTAGGAAGCCTGCTCCGTAGATTTTGGATATGTGAAGTATCCCATGAAGCTCTGGCTTGTTCTTTACATATCTTTGTACATATCTTTACAAAGCTTTGCTCCCCTCTGTCATTGCAAATGGAGAAGAAATTCAGGGCACCCAGCAATCACCAACACACCTGCTTGTAAATGATGCTGTTTCTACCTGTAACAATCTCCCCATTATGCCTCTGAAGAATCTACGCCTTAGTTTTGTTATTCTTTAGATTAAGGCACTGCCATCACATTAGATCACTATTTTTCTTTGTAGAATATAAAGCTGCTATAAAGCTGTCCTGGAGGCCTACTATATATTCATGTTCTCAAAAGATCAGAATTGATTTTAAAACATGCAAACTGTTTCAGCGTACCAAATATTTTGTTTAAAGAACAAAAAAGTTGTCATTCAGATCACCGAACAGAAAACATGAGCGCACACCACCAGACAAGTCTTCCAAATGAAATTTCACACACACGCTAAGGGCTGGGCAGACTCCAGAAAAGTTTCAGCAGACGACATTTGTTTTTTATGTATTTTGTTTTAAATATTGCCCACATTTGTGCAAAACTATCAATGTCAATGAGAGTCCATTTATGGGTGAAAAACTGATTTCTGAAAATGTTTGCAAGAGTGAATTTTTTCCATTTTTGGAAAATGGACACACATTTCTTTGGCATGAGAAACAGCAAGTGTTCAGTTAGTCCCAATGCAAATTCTCTGTCCTCACTGATGAACTGCATCGTTTTTGTGGCAAGAACAGTTTTTTGATTTTGTGGAAAACAGAAATATTGGTGAAGTCACAAAGGTTTTTTTTTTCCTTTTGCCAAACCAAATAAGACCAAAAAGAAATCATGATTATTTTAAAAATCTGTTTTGACACTTTTTTCAGAGAGCTCTGAGGCTATATCTGCACTACAGCCCTGAGAGTGGCACAGCTAGCTGTACTAGTCTATTGGCACCACTGTAAAGTCTTCTATGTAGCCACTCTTTTCTGGAACGTATGAGCTGTCCTGTCAGCATGATTAACCCACACCCAATGAGGGTCTTTAGCGATGTCTGTAGGAAAGTCCTGATGACACAGCACTGTCCACACCAGCACTTTTGCCAGTGAAACTTATCTTGGTCAGGGGTGTGGTTTTTACATCTATGGCTGACAAAGCTTTACCAACGAATTGGTAGTGCAGACAAAGTCCAAGTAGGGCCTGCCAAAGTGACAGCTGGAGTTCTGGGCCCTTTAAATACCCCCTGGAGCACTGTGCAGCACACTCTTAACTAGGTATCCTGTGTCTAGGAAGATGTGTGTGTTTTAATAGAGGGAGAGGCCTACAGGCCAGGAGTCCATTTTTGATTTTGCTACAGATACCAGAAATGACTTTGAGACTGTTTAAAGTATAGTTTTATTCTGAAAAGCAACTGTATAAAATGTTTTATTCTTACTCTTCCACATATCAGTTTTCCATGGGAAGTCAGAGTCCTATCTGCTTGCATATTTATAATCAGGCTAGTAACAGAAAAGAATTTATATTGGTTCCTGACTTAGAAAATAATGCCCAAGGAATGCTATTTTGTACATAAGAGACATATTTTTGTCTCTAACGTATGAGACAAGAATAGAGTATTTTGATATGGTATTTTGTATAATTAGTCCAAAGTGAAATGGTGAAAGCAATGATAGGGTAAATAGTTCAGTGGCTGATAGTTACTGTAAGTCAATATAACTGTACCAAGTGTTAAGCATATCTACGCTAAATTTTTAATAAGTGTATTTTGCATTTTTTTAATTTTAAAAAAAGTGTTCATTTCCTTGATTGTAATTTAAAAAAATGAGAGAAAACCTTTTAAAATGTAGACCTTTTTTTCAATGAAGATAGGTTTTCACAAAGAAACATTGCAAAACATCATTGACGAGCAACATTTTGGGACCATGAAGGTGCCCAAAATGAATCTGTGAAAATTTTAAATGAAATGCCAACAAAAATGGTAATTCTTTCATGGCGCAAGCGGTTAATTTATGGGTAAAATCTCTATTCCTCCCCCCACCCCAAAAAAAAAGTATACCTCTAAATAAAAAGGAACAGTGACAGTACTGAAAAGTTTCATTATTTTTCTGTTTTGGCGCCTTTCCCACTCGTTATAGACAAGACAGGATATTATAATTCACTCTAAGTCCTGTGCAGCATGCTGTTATGCTGCCCTTGGAGCAGTCTAAAGGAGATAGTGTGACCCTCAGTGTCCCAACTTCCACCCTGTTCTTCCCAGTGCTTTGAGGAAGGTATTAAACTGTGCTAGGGCTTTCCTCGGTCCTGCATTGTAACACATTGCTAGTGCAGTGGCTGGGTGGCCTTCTCTGCAGGTAGGGCACACAGCAGCTCTGTGGAACCTTTTGCCCTTTACAGACTGCTACTAAAACAGGACTTGCAAGGGCAAGTAAGCACTTTCCACTGCACTGTAAAAATGTACAATTCAATCATCTTGAGTGCCGCAATGAAACACCATGTTTTTTTGTTTGTAAATCCTGGATTAGGTTTTCAAAAAGAAAATTGAAAGGTATTTAGTTCTGCAAAAACTACATGAAGCTTACCCAGCCCTCTGAGTCAAACTGCACAGTCATAATACAACATTACAATATAATTGTTATTAGTTGTGAATTCTTACTCCTGCTCCATAGAAGTCATTTCCGGCTCATTTGAGAGGCAGCTAGTTCTGGGTTCAAGAGAAAATAGACAGCAGTAAATATTTTCTCTGTGTTTTTCTCTCTCTCCTAAAATATGGAATTGTACTTTTGGATATAATCAATGGTCATGAATGCTGGTGATTGGGCAAAAACATTGAACAATATTTACATGAATGCAACAGTTCGTGTGTGTGTGTGTGTGTGTGTGTAATATGACACTGATTTTCCTCAGAGGAGACTTTTTATGACTATTTCCTTAAACATATCGGAATGTGGATGAAACATGTACTACACCTGTACACCTGCCTTTGCACATCAAACAATAATGCCCCCACGTGCTCTATTCTGCCCCCAGTGCCATAATTTGCAACCTACATATAGGAGATTATTTTCTCCCATGCAGTTTCCTTTTGCAGGTATCCTGATATATTTGAATAGATTGGACGCTGTCCCATTTCCCACCATATTCTTTTTCCATCTCTATTTTTGGGTGCCTGCGTAAATGCCTGTCACATGCCCCAAAATGCCAGCTATTTGTTGTTTACAAGGGAGATTAAATGTGAATGCTGGCAACAGCCACTCAGCCAGTTAAGTTTCTCCAGGATTAACAGCTTGTGTATACAGGGTGAATACAAGTATTTTGGATTTTTACATGCTGCCCTTCTCTTTAGTGGCAATAAAGGCTGAATTCTCAAAAGATTTTGATGGGATGTCTGACCCCAAATGAGGAGGCACCAGGAACCCATACAAGAGACACAAATCTGCATGGATGAAAAAAGAGACTGCATAAAGCCAAAGGGGGAGACTGAAGAGAATCTTAAAAAAAAGTGGCTGGTTCCAAAACAGAGAAGTCATATAGCACTCCAGATGTAACTCCCTCCTCCAGAGACCTTATGCGTCTAGACTGGCATGATTTTGTGGAAATACTTCTAATGGAAAAGTATTTCCGCAAAAGCGCATCTAGATTGGCATGGATGCTTTTGTGCAAAAGCACTTTTTGGGGAAAAGCGTCCGTGCCAATCTAGGCGCGGTTTTGCGCAAGAAAGCCCCGATTGCCATTTTCACAAGAGGGCTTATCCCTGAGCGGGAGCATCATAGTATTTGTGCAAGAACACTGACAATCTTACATTAGATCGTCAGCTGCTTTTGCAGAAAAACTTGCCAGTCTAGATGCAGCCTACGAGTAATGTTCAAATGAAAAAAATGCTCTGTAAAATAGAATACATTAGAATCTCTCTTTTGGAACAGCACCAGAATAACAGTTGGATCACCAAAGGACAATGTGAATTAATGTCATTGATATATTTTTACTTCTTCAGAAATGTCAGCATTGAGCGTATCTATAGTCGTAAATCTGAAATGGAAAACTAGGACTGTATTTTACGGTTGTGCTGTTTACAGCTCATGCAGTTGATTCAAAACTCATTTGCCCCAGAACACTGAAAAATTGCTTTACCCCAGCTAAAATCTGGAACTGGCCACATTTCAAAGATTTGTCATCATAGGATCCACTCTCGTCGTTCATAATCTGGTAAAAGTGAAGTGTTGTGTGCCTCATTTGTCATCATAGGATCCACTCTCGTCACTCATAATCTGGTAAAAGTGAAGTGAAGTGTTGTATCTAGGCATTTCTACAGTGCTTTTCTTCCATACTGTCTGAGTGAGTCATAGGCTCATTGTAAAGATATGGGAACCAGAAGGATAGAAGGGCCTTATCCCCAGCTACACCACTCATTTACTGTGCACCCAGTTGAATGTATGTCAGCCAACCCATCTGGCACTTGGGCTACATTGTAGCCCAGCTTAAACCAGTAAATCAGTGTAACATTTTTTGTTTTAGCAACCTGTCCACATTGGATACTATACATGGAATAAGTCATCTAATGAGTGAGATAAGTGGAGTATTTAAGGGACTCTAAAGGACTGATCAGCAGGGATCTTAGAAATCAGTTTGCCTTGGAAAAACAAGGAATTTGCATTTTTACAGAGCATCTTTAGCTTTTACATTTTTAAAAAATTAAACCTATATACAGTAGAGCCCTGTTATTCTGAACCTCCAATATCTGGCTCTTCATATTCACCAAACTGCGACTGACAGTCAGAGTCCTGCCTCCTGGGCCAGACACTGGTCCCCAAAAGATTATATAAACAGGATTCCATTGTATCAATAACACATTGTGTTCAGTTGATACCTGTATGTATCGTGGCTAGGGAAACTAAACTCCAGCAGTGCATTTCAATTGTGAAAAAACACAGATTTTTAAAGGAGTATTTATTGCAGAATTTTGGGCGTTTTATCATGGAAAATTAGGATCCTTGCTAATCAGGCACTTATTGAAGTCAATAGCAAAACCTTGTGAGAGAGGAGGAAGTGGGTTCTCAAATGTGGCATCCATATATGGTAATTCAGATTATGATTTGCAGTGCTTAATTTGTAATGAAAGGGCTCAAGTAATTAGATACCGGGGCTTAAGTAATTGTTTTACATTCATAACTGCTGTAGTAAGTCCTGTGGTTTTGGAGCTATGGCTTGCCAAGCCTAAAGATGCCGGGACTCCAAATTAAGCACTGATAATCTGGTTGCAGCGAAAAACATAAAATCCAGTTCATTCCTGTACACCAGGTGAACGTAATGCCAGCAGCTAGCCAAAAACTGTCTTACTTAGCTGTTTCTGATGCTTCCCTCAGCTCTTCATCCAGTCTGCATGAGTAAAAGTTATTGTTGTAGAGAAGAAACAAAGAAGCAACCAGAGCATAAGAGAGCAGCAGAGCAATAGCAGAGCAAAGAACAAATAAGGTACATGCTTCTAAAATATTCACTCAATTTTCTGCACTGTTCCTAACAGTCTTCTGTTCAATAGTGTATCATTTCTTCTTGTTCAGCTTTTCCCCATTTTTACTCTAGCTCCTTGTTGAGTTCATCTGGAGGCAGCCACATAAAAGTAGCAGGGTTTTAAGGCATGCTTGCTTATGAAGCTGAGGACATTCAATCTTTATATTGGATACAATCAAATTAGCTGCAGCCTCAGCCAAGTCAAGGATTTTTCCAGGTTAGTAGGTTTTAATTGCAAAAGGAGGCTGATCTCAACAGCTCGAAGGGGGAAGTAAAACAGCAAATTACATACAAGCAAATGAACAGGAGACCTCTCTCAATTAGCTGTTGAGGTCACCTACATGTGAAAGGCTGGATCACAAATGTTCAATCCATTATGGACATTAGCATGAGCTGCAGAGCAAGAGTTTTACCTCATTCTTCTCTTAAACCACTTCTCTTCATCATACCTTACAAGATAAAAGTGAATGAAGGGGGGAAAATCTATAAATTCAAATAATATGCAAGTAGAAAAATGAGCAAACTTTATTTCACTGTCCTCAGTGAAAACCAAATCAAACCAAACCCCAATGCAACTTAATCTATTCTAAATACCTCGTGATTAAAAACAAAACAAGAAAAAAACTGACAAGAATCCTTCTTTTTTCCCATAGGTCCAACAGACTTGCTGTTAGTTAAGGAATAAACCCTGCATTGCAGAATGCTAACTGTTACACTCTCCACTACAATAATTCTTTTAATCAGAGCAGGATTCCTCATGACAGGCAAGGAAGAGGCATATTGGAGCACTCTGTGCTGTGCTAATCTTCCTCCTGCTGGCAGCAGTATATATCCTCAGACACATCTCCTAGCTTCTCAGATTCATTGTACAGGTACAGAAACGTGTACCGAAGATGTAGGCAGGGAGAAGGAGAGAGACGGGGAATGGCAATGATCCTAAAAAAGATCAAGAATGGAGGGACAACAAAGATGTACAGAAGGAGAAAGGAAAGAAAGGGTGGCAGACATCTGTAGATAGCATTTGCACGTCTGGGACATCACTCCATTTCAACTTTTCAGTTGGAAAAACTGCCAGCTGAGCACTATAATTTCTCCTCATCAACACATTTACCTTACCAGCAAAGTAGTCGAACAAATAATGAAACATCCACTATCTGTGTTTCACCATTCTCCCCAGAACCCTTCTCCTTAATGGTACTACACTGTCATTACCAGTATCACCATGCCCTTCAGAGCTACTGAATCTGAAGAACTCACATGTCGCAAAACATCTCATTTCCTGCAGATTGAGGCATTTTTATATGCATCTCTGACAGCTAAACTGAATAGCTTGTGAGATATAGGACAACACTGATACTCGTTTCAGATTGGCATCTACTGTAGAACAGAAAATGAGGGAGAGGATGAAATTTTACTAAGATTAAAAAACTTGGAAATCTATCATAGTTTCCTTATAGATCATTGTTGCAAAGTTACATTATTTTTGGCATGCATTATATTTTTTCTTCTGTATGGGTATGTCTACACTTGCACCCTAGTTCGAACTAGGGATGCAAATGCAGTCATTCAAAATAGTCAATGAAGTGGGGATTAAATAGCCAGCGCTTCATTAGCATGATCTCGCCGGCGCGCTAGTTCAAATCACAGCTGATTTGAACCAGGAAGTGCGTGCTGGGACGCGTTAGTTTGAACCAAACCTCTTAGTTTGGGCATACCCAGGTTTGAACAAGACAAAGGAAATGTGCTAAGACCCCTTCTTTGCAAAATAAATCTTCACATAGGGAAGACTATGAAGAACCTTTTGTCAAGAGGTGTCACACATAACTCCAGCCAGGAAAGGTATTTCCTTGATTGGCGCACTACTATTTATGAAAGTAACATAACCTTTACAAGGGTAACTGCTGTTTCCCATTATCTTTTAGTCTTGCTCACGAGTTATTGTTTGTCAAATCATTGGCAAAAGTACTAGGTGAGCCCCAGGGATTCCATTGTACAAATGACAGTGGTCTTATCAATTGTGTATCTTTGAATTATTGCTTCAGTGTTAAGTACAGAACAATTAAGGTAAAAAAGCATAGTAAGACTTAACCGCAGAGCAATCATTCAAAATGTGATGATACTCATGAATGGATTAAACTTTCCTGATCTGCCTTCAGGTTATGATTAGTGAATGAAGAAATTGTTCTGATTAGATAATCTCTCTCTCTCTCTCTCTCTTTAATGTAGTGAATGTTTTGCTGCTTCTGCAGTTTGGGATGGAATTTTTGTGGAACCAGGCAAAACTGAAATTGGCTCTCTCTTGCTTACATATTTGAATTAGTGCCTGATTCTTAATAATTCTTAATAAAAGTTTCCTAATTCCCGTATAGACTTTTGCAACCTCTCTCTCCAAACATCATAAACAATCATGTCACTCCATGCGAAAATCAGATTTAGAAGCAAAATCCTGCTACAGTTCTAGCTGATAAATAACAATACCTTGCTTAGATTTTTTCTTAGTATGCTTCACTTACTTGATAATACTCTCTGGTATGTGTACATATTCCATTGGAATTAGCTCACTGAGTTCTGCCAATGTACCAACATACTGGATCTTGCTGCTGAATTTTGAACTGAAACACAGAAATCCACAGACTATTTCATTTGCCCCCTTCACAATCTCACACACAAGAAAATGTAGGTAAAGTGGAACATTTTTAATTTTTTTAAAAATTAAAAAAAATCTAAAAGTCTAAAAGTCCTGTCTTCAATTTAGTCATAATATTCTTCTGACTATTAATGCACTGAATGGGGACTGACAAGATGTACAAGATTCCTGATTCAGGGACTAAAGTGGCAGTCCGTTTGTTACTGCTGTCCCTTTGAACAGGAACAAATTTCACCCACTGCTGGGGAGTACTTTAGAGATTAAGATGGATTATACCATGCAATTAGTTTTACATTTTGAGAGATATGCATTAAAATACAAAAGGAATGAGCTCCCTACCCTCCAATAGCACATCTCTGTGGAAGAAAGGGGCAGAGCCTTTCCTTTTGTTGTGAGTGCTCACAGAGCGATTACCTATTATATTATATCTTTAATTTCAGTATTGAGATTCTTGGGGGCATACATAGTAACTAAATAAATATTTGGTTTTGTTGCACTTACATTTTCAAAGTGACTCCCTATCAGGAAATATATATTGTAACTTTCATTTTTGTCCTCATATATGGACATGCTCATTTTAGGCTCAAATTGTGAAAGGGTATTTCATTTGTTTACATGGGCCTGTATTCTGCTAAATGACTGTTTACTGCTTTTAAAAACTGATTGTGTAGTGGAATGTCAGTCATTTTTACGGGTAACAGGTTTTAAAATCTAGCATTTGAACTTCTTTAACCTGAATTTTTTGGATGAGGAGAAATGTGCATTCCTGGTCCATTTCTTCTAAAGTGACTTTAGCTTTTTTTACTACAATACAAGAATAATACTGTGTTTAACTGAGCTCCTGTTGTAATCATAAGCAGTCTTTTTATTGACTAAAATAGGAATTGGAATAAACCCATTGGAAGACATTAAAATAACAATGAAGGAGGTACACTGAAAATGAAATTGAATTATCTAATGTCTAGATCATAATAGAAGCAATATCCTTTTTTTAGTTAGTAACTGATGATATAGAAACAGCTTTTTATCAGTGTGGTATTTGATATATCAGCTGAAGCAAGTATTGCAAACATGATGCTGATGCAAAAAAAATCAAAAAGGGTACAGACTTTTTTTACAAAATGTGACTTGTCCAAGTGAACTAAGGTCTCAAAGATCATAGTGCAAATTGATAGTATGTTTGACCTTTATTTGTAACCATAAGGAGTTAATCTTAAGATTAATTTACGTTATATGTAAGTTTTATGGGTTGATCCATATTTTATTTTTAAATGGAAACAGAGGAGGAATTTAGAGGAGTAGAAGGGCAGGTGGACAATACATCCATTTCTAATGGTGTTTGATGGTATTTACAAGGAAACTGAAGCTAAAGCTAAAGGCCTGCTTTCATTTTCTTTGTCAGGCTGGATGTGCTGCTCAGTCATTGCTCTCTGGCTTTTTTTAAGTGCTGATCTGGAGCTTGACAGCGATAAGTAATTAAGTAATCTTTTTCCTTACTGAGAAATGTCAATAAAACACCCACTCAGGCTTGGTGCAGGGATGCTCCAAGATACCCTTAACACTTAAAGTCAATTAAAAAAATAAGAAAGTTCCATCTAAACACACAGGCTGTGTCTACACTGGCCAGTTTTTCTGGAAAATCAGCTGCTTTTCCGGAAAAACTTGCCAGCTGTCTACACTGGCCGCTTGAATTTCTGCAAAAGCACTGACTTCTTACTGTAAGAAATCAGTGCATTTTGCGGAAATACTATGCTGCTCCTGTTCGGGCAAAAGTCCCTTGCGCAAAAGGGCCAGTGTAGACAGCAGAGATTTGTTCTGCGCAAAAAAGCCCCAATTGCGAAAATGGCAATCGGGGCTTTTTTGCACAAAAGCGCGTCTAGATTGGCCACGGACGCTTTTCCGCAAAAAGTGCTTTTGCGGAAAAGCGTCCGTGCCAATCTAGACGCTCTTTTCTGAAAATGCTTTTAACGGAAAACTTTTCCGTTAAAAGCATTTCCGGAAAATCATGCCAGTGTAGACGTAGCCACAAGGTATCCAGTTGTGTGTCTGTGATGCATGCAATGAATTTCTCCACTTCATGTATATTGATTTTTTGCACACACAATTAGGCAGGTCATCTAAGTGTGTGCAAATGCCTGAATACATATTTCATTTTTTTAGAACCTGGGAAGTGGCATGCAGGGACTTGTACAATAAGTATGCATACAAGCAAGTCCTGTGCTAAAGCCATTTGTGACCATTCATGGGCATGTATGTTTTGAGGGACACGAGTGAAAATAAAACTGATGTGCATTACATACCTTATGAAAGGTCGTGTCACTGCTAGAATAGTTCTGATAAACCAAGAAGGGTGAACGATTATAAATGATTTCAAATTCTTCCTTAACCTAAGTTGGAAAGAAAAATGCTCCAGCTTCTTAAAAATAAGAAGGTCACATAGAAAGACTATATGAAATCAAAAACTGGTCTGGTAGCACTTTATAGACTAACAAAACATGTAGATGGTATCATGAGCTTTCGTGGGCACAGCCCACTTCTTCAGATGATTGGAGTTATGAGTTTAGGGTGTGCACACCCAAAATAAATAGGAGAGGGGAAGAGGATGGGGGAGGGAAAAAAAAGAAAGGGGGGGTAGGAGACACGGAGCTAGAGGGAATCAGTAAGTATCTGAAGACTGGCAATAATGAGAAGAGGCATTAAAATACAAAGTATGGTCAAAAAGGAAAAAATATTTCTCACCGTCGATCAATCATCTGGTAACATTTTTTCATCCAGCCAAATCCTGGCATCTTTCTCCGTGGTGTTGCTCCATTCAAGTAGACGATCATATAGTCCTCAGCTACCATCAGCTCTAAGGTACTTATTACGTATCTGATTACAGAATAAAAGCCCATGAGTGAGAAATCGAATTTTACTTTATTAATTCATCCCTAATCGAAACCAGATAATTAAGCATAAATTCATTAATTACAAGCAGGTTTAGTATAAAATAGCATTTCATTTTCTGTAAATTAAAAACAGACATTGACAACTCTCTCAAAGCTACTTTGTGGCAGTTTAATCTTAAAGCTAACCTCTTCAGTTTCAGAAAAAAGTAGTTTGCTTAGGAAAACTTCCTTTCAAAAAATGAATAGTAGTCCTATAGCACCTTAGAGACTAACAAAAAATATGTATATAGTATCATGAGCTTTCGTGGGCAAAACTCACTTTCTCTCTTCATCTGAGGAAGTGGGTTGTGCCCACAAAAGCTCATGAAACTAATATATATATATTTGTTAGTCTCTATGACGCTACAGGACTCCTCGTTGTTTTTCTAATGTTACAGATTAAAATGGGTGAGACTTCCTTTCCAAACGTGAGTCTGGAATACTTCCATCATTTCAGGTGGCTTCCCTATCTCCCCTCCGCTCCTCATTTAAGCACACTAAGCCAACACAGTCAACAAGGGAGACCATGCTAATTAAATTCCAGGTGGTGCTTAAATCTAACTAATGCAGAGTAAAAGAAACTTAGCTTCCTCATCAGTCATTGGCATGTTTACTAGAGGAAATAAGACCAAAAAGAAAGGAACATTCGTTGTGGGATCAAGGCTTAGGTTGACAACAGATACTTGTTTGGAAGAACAGTAAGGATTTAAAGATATTCAGAAACAACAGTGATGAATGGTGTTGGCCCTGTTTTGAGCAGGGGGTTGGACTAGATGACCTTCTGAGGTCTCTTCCAACCCTAATCTTCTGTGATCTGATGATTAAATACATAGGTATAGTCGGATTTTGCATTGAGGTCTGTGGTGTATAGGTTACGTAGGTCTGTGACTGGGGGAAATTACTAAGCTTTTGAATTCCAAAACTATTAAGCCAGCTAACTAACAAGCAGTGTGAACTTACCTGCTTTTGTGGTGGGGATAGAATACCCCTTTGTACTTTTTTTTAACATAAAAATCCCTGAGGCAGGCATGATGCTGATATGAATCTGCACCCCTGCAACAGTATTATGATAGAACTGCACTCTGCTGGCCAGATTCACCCCCACGGAAGTAGCCACTAAAAGGGCGATTTAAATTCTAGTCTGGTCTCCTCAGAAGCAGATGATCACCTCTTCCCCCACATGCACACGCATTAGGTCTCATCTACCTCTGCTATAGTTAGATATTGGCTTATATTCTGAAGCATGAGGTTTTATATCTGCTCCAAAATGTGTGGACTCCTCCATCTGTGTCTGTATAAAAATGGCAGTGGAACCTCACAGATCTACGCCTTGGTAACCTACACACCTGCAAGACCACAATGCCAAATCCAACTTTACCTATGTATTTAATGGGTCACATCACTGTTGTGTTTGAGCATTTCACAGTCCACTCTCTTCCTTTAAATACTTTTGTTAAAATATTATTCTTTCAAACAAGAAACTGAAGCCCAATTCTAACCTCACAGATGTGCTTGTAATCACACTTTACACCTATATGGAAACACGGATCAAATTAAATGCATGGAACTATCCAGAGTAGTGTCACACTTCACTACTGATTCACAGTACTTTTTATTAGGGCTGTCAAGCAATTAAAAAATTTAATCACACGATTAAAAAATGTAATTGTGATTAATCACACGATCAATCACGTGCAACACCCCTTTGAAATGCTGCAGTGGCATTTCAATGGGGCAGAGCTGCATGGAGCCCAGGACCAGCTGGAGTTCCCAGCTGACCTCGGACTTCATGAAGCACTGCCCTTTGGAAGCACCGCCGCGGTGTTTCAAAGGGGCAGCTCAAGGTGGAGGCAAGGGTCGTTTAGAGTCCCCAGCTGATCCCCGGCTCCGCTTGTGCTGCCCCTTTAACGGGGCAGCGCATTAGTGTCAAAATGGCACATCAAAAGGGCAGCAGCACAAGCGGAGCTGGGGATCAGCTGGACACTCCAGCTGATCCCCGGCTCCGCTTGTGCTGCCCCTTTAACGGGGCAGCGCATTAGTGTCAAAATGGCACATCAAAAGGGCAGCAGCACAAGCGGAGCTAGGGATCAGCTGGGGACTTATCCCCAGCTCTGCTGCTGCAAAGCCTCTTTTAAGCGCTGGAGCGGCACTTCAAAGGGGCTTTGCGATGCAGAGCTGGGGATCAGCTGGACACTCCAGCTGATCCCTGGCTCTGCTTGCGATGCCCCTTTGAAGTGCCACAGTGGCACCTGAAAGAGGCAGTGCAGCATTAACATCTGCAATTAACACGTTAATCCTGTCTTGTGTTAATCGCAGGCGTTAACGCAGGTCATTTGACAGTCCTTTTTATTGCCCCCTTCTCTTTTGCACTTGTATGCTGTCCTACCTAAGCCTTGAGCCTGCAGACTTAGACATGTCTTTAACATACACAGTGTGAACAATCCTGAGGCCCTCTTATTGCAGTGAATCAGTGGGACTACACAGTAGGCAAAAAGTTAAGCATGCATGCAAGTCTTTGCAGGATTGGGACCGCAGAGAAGAGAGCAAGTCATCTTATGTGTATAAAATGAGGGTGCTATACAAATTGTACATCATAATAAACATTGACAAATAAGAGTAAAGAGAGTGATTTATACATTTTTTAATATTAGAGACTATCACTATGACCATCTACTCTGACCTTCTGCATAAGACAAGCCATAGAATTTCGTCTACCAATTGGACCTCACTGATCCGGCACTCTCGGGACCTGAGTGGTCCCAGATGAGGGAATTTTCTGGATCAGGGAGGGTCCCCTGTCTCCTACCCCTGAGCCTTCCACCCCTACCCACTGCTGGCTCCTTTGGCCCTGCTGCTGGCTAGGTGACATGGCTGCCCTGGCCCCACTGCTGATAGTTGTAGCTCTAGCCCCACTGCTGGCATGGCAGCATGTAGACCTGGCCCCTCTGTTGGCTGGCACATGGCCTTGATCAGGCTGCTGACCTGCCGCGGTCCCAGGCTCTGTCCCCACTGCCAGACCGGCACAGAGCCCCATTGGGTTTCCAAGGCATAACCCTGCTGCCAGCCCCGCTATCCCCAGCCTTGTCTTTTACAAGGTTCTCAACTGCTGGGCCTCCTGCCCCAGGGCTCTCTCGTTCAGCAACAATAATTTTGGCTGGTTGTGGACTGATGCTTGTGTAGAACTTTGAATTTCTGCCTCTTTCATGCTGAGGAATAAGCAGCCACAACTGAGATAGCAGGCATTTCAGTTTGGCTCTACAGCAACATCCCAGGGAAGTGCATCAACAGCTGCTCTCCCCCAGGGCTTGGATCTTGGCCCAGATTTAGATAATCCGACAGGATTAGTCAAGGTAACAAATTGATGACAGAACACTTTGACTCACAGGGCACCATAACTGCACTAGGTGAAATATGTAAACAACTAAATGCACAATTTCTAGTGATTGTAAATCATTGATATGGAGCTGATATCGGGGGAATATAGCACTGCAGCTGCAGGATTATCTATGGACAGTACTTTGCTTAAGGCCAAAAAGCACTAGATGATAAAATGTGGGGTACGGGACTCTCTGAAATTCCTTGTAAGATTAATTAGGAAGAATGTATGTACAGATATTTGTAGCCTAATGTAGTGGGGAGGCGGAGGGGAACCAATATATTGACACCTCTTTAGTTCAATGCATATACCCCTTTTGCAACTCAAACAAAAGAAATGAGTGGCTAGATACTTCCTCTGTTGTTTCATGACTATTGTGTGTGAAAGAGAGGTGTTTGCCAGTTGCAAGACAAGTTGAAGACACAGGTCCAAATTTTGTTCCCATTTCCACTGGTGCAAATCTGAAGTAACCCCAGCGAAGACAATGGAATAAAAAAAAAGACCCCGGTGATAGACTTGAGCGGGGAAGTCTTGAAGGCAATTAAATTACTTTGTATACCGTAGTGTAAATGAGAGAAGAATCCAGCCCATAACCCTTAAAGACTCCTCTATAATAGTCTATCCTGATTACACACAACTTTATTTAAAACCTGAGGGGTTCAATTAGGTCATAAAATAATTGTTCAATAGGAGCCATAATTATGCTCTGTTGTTTTTTCCAGGTTTAAGACTATATTAAACTAGATATTGTGATATATTCCCCCCTTCACATCTTGAAGGTGCTACTCCATTTGTAGATCAATTGATTACTGGTGATGCTAGGTAGGATTTAGATGCAGCATCTACTTTCAGATGAGTACTAGTAGAGGTCTGAATCAATTAACTCACTCACTGTTGTGTTTATGGTGGTGTTGCAGGCACCAGCATGGCTGGAACAATCTGAACAGTGAGGGTGCTGAAAGGCCCTGAACCAAATGGTAAATTCCATATATAACAGAAACACCACTTCAAGCCAGGTGGTGTGGCAGCACCCTTGTGTGTTGGTTACCTTACTAACGCATGCTGCGGATATGATGCAGCATTAAGCTTTATATTGTATGGGCCATATTTTATTCTGAGCAGAGACCATTTTTCCTGAACCCACTATTTGTGTCTCAAGGGATGGAACTGCAAGGAATTGTGCTCTAATGGTCTTACCGACCTTTTCTTTAAGCAACCGCCTGTGCAAGGCCAGGGTTTGGTTGGCCTCTGAATTGTGCAAGCTCACCAGAACTTTAAACAGGCTTGTGAGGCTTTGGAGGGTCAGGCAGGGTTAGGATTTCAGCAGCAAAGACTGGAGACAGCTCAGGGTAGCTGTTGCCTTCTCCATCTAGTTGCTGCCAGAACAAGATGCCATTTAGGAGTGACCTTTGTGGTTAAAAATTAAAACAAAGTTGGGTTCACTCCGTCAAACTTATTTATCCTTCCTCACTGGTAATTGCCATTTGCAGTGACTGACTCAGAAGCAGCTAGAGTTGGGAAAAGTCTTAAACACTTTGGGGCAGTGCCTGCAGGGGTGCCATTCAGGCCAGGTGTATACCTTCCCTGAGTTTTGTACCACATTTGGGTAAAGTTTCCAACAGGAGGGACAATCCTGCCCTTCCTTGCTCCATTGTATCCTGTGCTGCTCCTGCTTCCCCACCATATAGTCACCAGTGGCCATGCTGTTTGGGACAGGGAACCTGCACTGCCTCCTGATTTGCTGTGCAAAGCTGGCCATAGGCTGATGGTGAGTCCCCTTTGTTCTGCCCATCATGTATCCAGGTGGGCAGAGCACATCCCACACTCCAACCCCTTTCTTGTGGATCTGCCCCCGCCCCCTCGTGCTTACAAAGGACTGAACACATGACTAGTCTCACAACAGCACCCCCTTGGATACATGATGGGCAGAACAGCCTCTCCCTTCATCTTGAGTTCCACCCTTCCTGGTATCAGCCCCTAGCTACTCCCACCCTCCATCCTGAGCAATTTTCAAACTTTCTGAGTTGCACCCTCTCCCTAGACTATAATTTTTAATTGTGGCCCCCTTTTATCTGTATAAAATAGGGTTTCCAGGTGTCTAAGTAGCCCATGGAATCACGATTAAGGTCTCCCTCCTCTATCTGAAGTGCTGCCCCTATGTGACAGTCTTTTTGTTCTATATCTATGCTGTGCCAAGGACAATGGGGCCTTCGTTCACAACTGGGCCTTCTAAGTTCTGTGCAATACAAATAATATCAGTGGTGAAAACTGAACTGAGGTTAAAGGCAGGAAAGGCTACAGGTAGGACTGGCACTCCCTTGAGAAATGATTGAATAATTTTAGAGCTAAGGAGCATGAAGCTATTAATCCTTGTCATTTGGAAAATAATTACATTTGGCTTTTCTCCTGACAAATATTCCTTAATTTTTGTTTAGTCTAAGCAACTGAAATAACCGCTACACCAAGCATTGTATTTAAGATAGCTTTTCCCCCTAGCATGCAAGTCACCCTCCTGGAATACTCTAAATTACCTCTGAATTAAAGACAGGTTATCTATCAGTTTGTAGTTATATGTATTAACTCAAAAGACTGTACATTGTTCATACATCACTCACAGGAAAAGATTTTCCATGACATAGTTGTAGTCAGGTCGACTGCTGTCTGGCAGGAAACATGCAGCAAACACAATGATGGCATTTAGACCATCACCATAGTATCCTGTGGAACAAACAAAAAGGCATTTGTCTCTCAGTAAATGACTCTTAACAAGATTATCTTTAAAAAAAATTACAGCAGGTCTGAAATAGGGTGTTTTTTTATATATATAATTTTTAAATCTAATGGGAAGCAAGTAAACCCTTTATTTTTTAAGCCCAGTTTTTAAAATCCCAGTTACTTTTGCCTCCAGCAGAGGTGGAAATTTGGTATATTCACAAGGGGAGCATGAGTTGGCATGCACAGAAAGGAACAATAGCTCAGGACAAAAATTAATCGCTGTACTTAAAGAAATGGAAATCACCAGAGCTTTTGACATATCAGCTCGAAGACAAGAAGGCTGAGAGAAATTTAGTTGTGGGGGAGAGGTGATTAGAAGATGATCCTACTCAGGACAACCCTGGCTGAACTTTTCCCTGGATAGGAGTCGTGCAAAAACATTTCTATCCTCAATCTAGTAATGAACACTTGATAAACAGGCTGGGTATGGGACAAAAGAGGAATTCTCTCTGTGCAGCAACTGGAGAAAGGGCACTGACTCTCTTGTTTGTGACAGCTTATACTCAGAGGCCTTGACATGAAGGAATAAGCCTGTCTTCTAAACAGGAATTAGGAGAGAACATTGAATCCCCTCCCCAAGGGTACTTAAATCTGAAAAGACAAAAGAATAAATCTCAAAAGGGAGAGTGACAACTAACATAACCTTCAACAGAGACAATAAGAATGAGATAATATCTTTGCTTGGACCAGTTTCTGTTGATGAGAGAGACAATGTCGCCTTCAGCTAACCATTAATATGAGCTGTATTAGCTGTTTTACATAATGGGATATATTAAGGAACAGGCAGTATTTTTCTCCTCTTCTGTGAACGTTGGGATGGGATTTCCTTGCTTCCATAAATTAGGAGATTTTCAGGGATTCCCTATCTAACTAACACAACGGAGTCTAGCATTAATTCTTTCAACTGTCCCAGGAGCTAGGCATTACCACGACACAATGGCGGGTATTGTCTCACCTTGCAGTTCCCTAGACCTAAGACGATAAGGTGCTGTTGACATTTTAAGCACATCGTTTGATCTGTGAAATTTTCTCTTCTAACATGCACTCTCATAGACAAGCAATGTTCATGAGAGACAGTGGTTCTACCAAAAGTTAACACAAATTCCTTGCCCATAGTTCAGGGGAAGCAGCCAGAGTGATCACTGAGGAATTTTCCCAGGGGTTGGTGCAAAAGGAAACCTCCTCCCTAGGGCGTAGGGCTGTAGCTACTATCCATTCCTCACCACTCACATTCTGAACCCACCATCCCTCTCAGGAGTATGGCCAGTGAATCAATAAAGTACTGGGTCTATCTAAACTCTGGTGAATGTATTTCTCAAGCACCTCTCTGTGTTCTCTAAGCAGGCAAGCCCCACTAGTAGCTCTTGCATATCGACACAAAGGACCATAATGGAGGTGGACTTTGTCTTGATACCAGATTAATCCCTCAGGCTCTCCAAATCCCTCCCAGACATATGCAATAAACTGGTGGACTTTGTCTTGATACCAGATTAATTGCTCAGGCTCGCCAAATCCCTCCCAGGCATATGCAATAAACTATGCATCATTTCCACATCCACAATTAGGGGATCTGACTCTTGATAAATAAAGATTGTAATTCCAATGACCTCAGTGGAATCAGGATTTCATTCAATGTTTCTAACTTGGTCAATATAGTGTGGGTGTGTATTGTGGATTCTTATATTTCCTTTATGAGAATTACACTGTTCAATTTTAGCAGCAGTAGTATAGAAAGAAAATCATGCAGTTTCAAGGGGATGGGCTTGAAAATTTAGTTGAGGTTTCCACCTCAGATGTCCTTTGGTTATTTTGCATAAGGAATGACTACATTTGTCACGCCTCTCTGTCTCAAGAATAAGAAGATGCCAGACAAAATTCACCAAGTGTTACACAGCTCGCTCTTGTGGGTGAACGTCATGCACATAGAATCATAGAATCATAGAATAATAGGACTGGAAGGGACCTCAAGAGGTCATCGAGTCCAGCCCCCCGCCCTCAAGGCAGGACCAAGCTCCGTCTACACCATCCCTGACAGATGTCTATCTAACCTGTTCTTAAATATCTCCAGAGAGGGAGATTCCACCACCTCCCTCGGCAATTTATTCCAATATTTGACCACCCTGACAGTTAGGAATTTTTTCTTAATGTCCAATCTAAACCTCCCCTGCTGCACTTTAAGCCCATTACTCCTTGTCCTGTCCTCAGAAACCAAGAGGAACAAATTTTCTCCTCCTTGTGACACCCTTTTAGATATTTATCATAATGTTGATAAAACCAATAGCATCAGCCATGTCAAAGACAAGGTGCTATATCTTAGCACACAACACTCTGGGAAGAATGAAGAAGCAAAACAAAGGGTCAGTTTAACAGCTTATTACCCTGAAGAAAATGGTCACCGATTCCAAAATAAGAACTAGAGGTAAAGCAGGGCGCCTTCTCTTGGAAACAATATTACCATAAATTGCTATCGTGACAGACACTCATTTCTGCTTTTGGCAGCTTGCCAGATTCCATTAGTGTCTTCTAATTTAACTGGATCTTTCATGCAAGAACAGAATGAATAATAAAGTTGAAAGCATGCGGCAAATGAGACAGTTCACACTTGTTACAGACCTGCACACCAACCATCCTTTTTCATTAAAGTTAAGCTATCATTTTTGTAACATTTGCTCAGTGGAGTTGCATTGATGTAAACCTGGTGTAATGAAGAATTAAGACTCAAGGCATCTACATGGTGGGGAAAGGATTAGACCACTTGGCGCTCACTCCTGGAGAACTTATTTTAAATTCTAATTAGTTTATACACAAAGCTAAACTGAGTGGTCTAGTCACCATTGAAAAACTGTCCACATTTACAAAGACATCACAGGACAAGGCAGAGATTAAGACAAAAGGTAATTCCTGCTCAAAAACTAGGTTAACAAGAATTGCAACAGTAGAATTGTGAGAACAAGGGCCTGTTCCAGCTCCCATTTGAAATCAGTCACTTCATTGGCTGATTTTCATTTTAATAAAAAACATTGTAAATGCATACAAGGTCAATTATCTGGAAAGATAGGTGAATGTTTTTGAAGTATATGCATCTAGAGCAATTTATATATATATATACACACACCTATAAATACCACTAGCAAAATTGCAATTATTCCTGTTTTTCCTTCCTTAATTATATTACCCATGGATATTTCTGAAATAATTCTGGGGTTTCATGAAGTTCATAAGTTTAAATTGTCTTGTTATGATTGAAAACTGCTTTTGTAATGTTAAAATGATTGTATTGACCTATGATTAAACCTTTTGTACATTGGGTGAGTCTCTATGAACTTTATTACACATTGTAGATGATTATATTTGCAGACCAAACCTCAACTGGATGAGGTTCTGTGGCCTGCAGTGTACAAGTGTACAAGGTGATCACGACGGGTCCCTTCTGACCTTGAAGTCTATGAGAAACCGATAAAAATCTATAATTCTCTTAACTTCAAAGGAGCTATCCCTGCCTCATAGTAGCTGAGGATCTGGCCCTGGAAACGTAGTGGAAATGACAGCTTCAATTTCATTTACATCATGAATCTGATATATCAATGGAAAGGCATTTTCAATTATTTTAAATTTTCTTATTTTAAGTATCGACAGTAACAAGTCCAATGGGGTAAATAATTTGGGGTAGGCTTAAGCTACAGTCAGAAGACTGGTGACATTTTTAGGTTGTTACAGAACAGCAGGATTGAAGAAAACCAGACCAGACCTTGAATAGAATCTGTGTAACTCAATAGTTTGTGTCTCACCAACAGAAGTTAACCCAATAAAAGATATTTTACCTCACCCACCTTGCCTCTCCAATACTTCAAGTACACAGCTTAAATTAGGTCATGTAATGAGGTCACTTTCCTAGTTAAATTTGATGGATTGTCTAATATTTACCAAGTAACAGGCCCACTAATGCAAGAGAAGTTACCTCATGGCCCAGCAAATCAAAAAGTCCTGAGGCTCCTGGCCACTGCCATTGCTACTGGGCAGCTCTCATAGTTGGCTGGGGGCAGGCAACGCAATGCACTCCAGGAACTGCAGAGGACTGGCTGCCTCCCAGTTCTGCTCCTTCTACCTGAGGCCCTGCCCCTTCTGGGAGCATGGAGACAGCACCCACTCCACCTTGCCCAGGAACTGAACAATTCTGTCAACCCCCGCTGGCAGGTTAGAATGCAAGGAGCACAAAATAAAAGATTGGCTCAGGTTGCTGGTGAACAGCTGGCTGCTAATGCTCATGAATGAAAAATAACTTTAGCGGTGTTCCAGGTTCATCAAGGGCACATATGGTGCTGAAGCCCCAGGGAAGCACTGCAAACATTACAGGCATCTTTTCCTTTACCACACATCCTACTTGGGACTACACCTTGGCTCTGGAAAACAGTTGCAGTCATGCACAGAATAAAAGTAGTTTAATGAACCATGCAATGGTATACTTCATTCAGCAAAACTATTATTGCTTTCACCTACACAGTAGATTTTTCACTACAGCTGGCTACAGAAAAACAAAAGCATTCACTCTTTACTGAAAGGGAACTTTATGCTATAACTATCTTGCTGCTAAAAAGACATTTATATTAGTTTGTTTGCTGCTGTTCGAGATACTTGGGTATTCAAAGTACCTGTCATCTCATTTCTACCACTTCCATGTTGGATCAAACATTAGGCCAGACATAGGCAGATCTCCCTTTATGCCAGCTTTACACTTCCAGAAGTCAATAAACTTCAATGGAGTTACTTCTGATTTGTCCCAGTGTAAGTCAGAACAGCATCAGGCTCATTGCCTCGCCCAGAAATAATTCAGCTCCTTTTTGCGCAAAAGCCTCTTGCGCAAAAACGTCCTCTAATTAATTATGCAAATGAATCATGGCAATATGCTAATCTGCACTTCATTTGCATAGGCTTTTGCACAGGAGAGGTGCAGTATAGACATAGCCTTAGTTCCTTTGCCTAGGAGGTGCTGTTTCTATACAATTATTCTCCTAAGGGTTTTTTGCCACAGGGAGTAGCTTTGAGTTCCACTGGGGACTCTAAGGCTGTGTCTAGACTACATGGCTCCATCGATGGAGCCATGTAGATTAGGGTTATAGGCAAAGGCAAATGAAGCCACGATTTAAATGATCGCGGCTTCATTTACATTTACATGGCTGCCGCGCTGAGCCGACAAACAGCTGATCAGCTGTTTGTCGGCTCAGCGCGGCAGCCATGTAAATGTAAATGAAGCCGCGATCATTTAAATCGTGGCTTCATTTGCCTTTGCCTATAACCCTAATCTACATGGCTCCATCGATGGAGCCATGTAGTCTAGACACAGCCTTAGAGTCCCCAGTGGAACTCAAAGCTACTCCCTGTGGCAAAAAACCCTTAGGAGAATAATTGTATAGAAACAGCACCTCCTAGGCAAAGGAACTAAGGCTATGTCTATACTGCACCTCTCCTGTGCAAAAGCCTATGCAAATGAAGTGCAGATTAGCATATTGCCATGATTCATTTGCGGAGCCATGTAGTCTAGACATACCCTAAGTTCCCAGGTGGCAAAAGCAGTTCAGAAGATGTGCTGAGTCAGGGCACCCTACGGTTAACCTGACCACAGAACTCACTAGCATTTTCTGACAATACCACTTATTGTTGGATCTGTGTAAGGGTATGTCTACGCTAGCCCCCTAGTTCGAACTAGGGGGCTAGTGTAGACATACCCTAAGTGGTCTGCTGGACATGAATTTGCAGCTGCTTTTAGCCATCGTAATCTCCTTCCAGGTGAACTTTCAGCAAATGAGGTTTTGCACCCGGGTCTTCGGCAACAGCAGTACAGGCATGAATCTGGCCCCCTAGCTATGATATTTACTGTAATGTGAGGATCTGAACCAATGGGTTGTTTACATCAGTGACTGGAAGGAAGGAATTCAGTTTTCCTACTGCTGGATGAAGCATGGTTTTCACCTCACTCTAAAATGCTATTAGGAGTTCTGTACCTCCATGAGAAATAACTTTTTTGTAAGGCTCAATGACTTTCATATCAATCCTCTGCTCCTGATCTCCAATCACTACCGTTCTCCATAACCTATTGTCTTCTCGCTCTTCTTCAGCAGTGTACTCAGGGATGGATTCAGATTCCTCTTGGAAAACATCCCCAAGGGCTGCTTGACTTTCTGAAAAATAAAGCAACAGATATTACTATAGTAGCTGCGTAACCAGAGTGATCCTAATTTGTTCTAGGCTACACTGGTGTAAATTAGTAGAACTCACCATACCTTTAAAGCCAATAAAGTTACTCTGGATTTACAGTGTAATACATGAAAACAGAATCTGACTCTGTAACAGCCACTTGGTCAGACCTGTCTCCCTTTTCCTATTTTGAACATGATAATAATAAACAATCACCCTGCAGAACTGCCTTTATATTTTTCAGGTAATAAAATGCAGCTCTTCAGTGATAAAGGGGCTGCTGGTGCAATAACTGTACCAAAAATGTAAAGTTGGCAGGAAGCAGAATGAGTGGAATTAACAATAGGCCTACATTGTTCTCAACTTTCTTTCCCTTTTATTCAGTGTTCTATTTTGGTCAATGTCAGCTTTCGTTGTTACTGCTGAAGAGGGTTGTCATGCAGTGGTACATAATGATTGGTAGCTTAGGGGGCCATAGTCAGATCCAAAGCTCACAGGGGACTATGGAGTCTCTCAGCACAGCCCTTCTTGTTTCCTAGTCCCTCTGCTTATGCAATGCTGCCACTGCATTTCTGATGCATTTGGGGAATTCCATACTGGCAAAAGATGCTGCAGAATTTAGTTTTAAATCAGAAGAAGATACATTAACAGAGTAACAAAGGACCAGAGTTGGTTTATGATACTCCTGTATGACAAATAATTATAAAACACACATATATCCTTTCGGAAAAGCTGAATGTTTAATGCAAGGTTTAGTGACTGGCTACATAAATATTAACATATGGTAGTCACTTAATTTGTAGTTGGAATTACTTAATTTATTTCCCTAACTACTGACTGCAATATAGGATTTTTAAGTGAATCTGTTCCTATTTTCCATCTATTTTGTGTTATTCTGCCTGAAGCATTTTAGCATTAACACACCCATGAATAAGCAGGCAGTCTGAGCAAACATCTCTTGGTCAGAAAGACAGGAAACAGTCCTGAAGGCAGATATGGCAGAGAAGCAGAGACATTTTTTCAGTTGAAGACACATTAATAGCCTGCTCAGTCTTAGGTGAAAAGATTAAAAATAGCTATCGTGGAGATCTGGCAAAAAATGGAACATGAATTTTAAACCCTAACAAAAAATGCCTAAACTGTATTTAGTTTGAGTCATCAAATATATTAATAATTTGTCTTTATGCTGACACATCTGTTCTGTTTAATGCAGAATTAACTGAACTGGCTTAATATAGTGTCTAGTCCACATTAGCCATACATGTGCAGGGCCATATACTGAACCACTATAGTTTTGTCCTGTGTCCATGTTAGCATTGTCCAAATAGTTTTAGCTTCAGTGTCCCCTGGGTTTTTATCCTGCACTTCTTGGCACAACTTCCCAGAACTAGTGGCTTCTAGGCATGTGGGCTTGAAAGACGAGAAGTTACTGTAGGACAATAAGGGGGACATTAACTGAAACACTTAAGTCTACACTGGCTTAGTACTGTCTGTACTGGTTCTAAACCAGTACAGGCTGAAACAATCCCATCTGAACCACTACTGAGCCCTGCTGAAAACCAGTTGTTAGCCCACATACAAATCACTTGAAAAACTTTGTGTATCGACTATGTAGTAAGATGAAACATAAGCCATCAGGAACCCCTAACTGATGACAGACTAAAGGGGCCAGCTCCTCCACTGATATAAATGAAACTAGCTTCACTCATTTCAAGGTGTTTTACAAGCAGGGTAAGAGGCCCAAAGTATTCTTTTCAAATTCTACAGGACAGACAAGGCCTTAGACCTTCTCAGAGTAAAAGACCAGTCATTCTTTTATTACTACTTGGAAATTATTTCATAAATGAACCAGATTATATCTGTTATATTTTGAATTAACAAAATGCTGAACCTTTTGGTACTTACTGCCATGGAGAAAAAAGCAGTATTATTAATATTTACTAGCTTTATAGTAACAATCCCCATTTCTGTGTTTGAATTACTTGTTTAATCTCATGATCCAGAAAAAGGACAGTTCTTCAAGATACAAAATCTGGGTCTAGTATCCAGTTTACATTTAGATACTCAGAGACAGAAGACTACCAGTTTTGTTTGGACATATTCCTGGAGTTTTCTTCTCATGGCATAATCTTCAATTCCTGTAGATTCCTGGGCAATCCTGGAGAGTTGGCAACCCTACATATCCTTTCTTCATAAGTTGATAGCAATGAAAAAGACGGGAGCTGGAGTTGTCATTAATGGGGTTTGTCTGGGTCATTTGTGCAGTACAAACTGATAAAGGCTCTGCCCCTTCCTGAACTTCCAAGATTCAAATTTCAACTTTATTGAAAAGGATCTGAAATTGGCTCTTTAGATTTGGGTACCTGACAAAGGATTTGTTGATGCTGTGAATGGCTATAGAGGTAAATCAAATAATTTGATCCATATCCTATTGTATCACTACTTACACAGCTCTGTAAAGACATGATTCCCCAGAGAAATTTTCATCCTAGTCAGCCAGTCTGCTGTATGATTTTAAGGGTTTTTTTATGTGAGGTACATGCAGCACTTAGATCAATCTGAGGCTGGGTTGGGTTTTTTTTTGTTGCTTATCTCAGTTATCTGAGTACAGGAATAAATTCCCTGAGCAGAGTTTCTGCCAGTTCACATAGACATTTCAGATCTAAACCAGGACATGACCCTCCAAGTATACAAAAATAATAGGAATGGACACCTTGAACTTTTTAAGTTAATGGTATCTGGCAAATGATTCATATTTAGTGAGTAGCTGTCTGATTTAGAGAGTGACATAAAAACATTGGGCCAAATTCATAATCAGAGTAAATGGGATCAATTCCCATTGAAATCATTGGCATCTGCATCCATTTTTCATCCAGCAGGTTTCTCCACACTCCTTTTATTACCTTCAGAAATAGTTAGCTTAGCTTTCATGCAGCCTTCAATATAATCAAATTCTGAAAACCTCTCTGCAGCAACCAGGTTAGATTTTATCATCACTCACTACATCTGCCCATAAAGAGCTCTGTTCTCTAACCAGAAGAGACATTAGAGATGCTTATGGATGAATGATTATGCAGTGTTATTACATGTTTAAAAGATCACTCTAAGAACTTTCAATTTACAATATTCTCTCCAGTAACAGAACATTCATATGCAAGGAAGAATTTACTTTAAATGTATTAAAGAGTTGTCCTCTCTTGTTGGTTGTGAATATGTGGTCACAACCACATAGAAACAAATTATAATCATGATTATTATTCATCTACATAAATTACTACATTGGCACATAAGATCAATCATGGACCAAGAAAGAACTAGCACAAAACCCACATCCCTTGTTCTATGAGAACAGCGGAATTAAGCAATTCTATACATTGCTTTAAAAGTACAGTCTGAACAGGAGAGTGGTATCTGGGTTAAGGCACTAGAATTAGTTACAGCTGATCATGGTTCAGTTTCTTGGTTCCACCATATGCACACTTATATGGCCTTAGACAAGTCACTTCATCTCTCTCTCTCTCTTTCCTTTAACTCCCCATCTATGAAACCAGGATACTTCCTTTATACCACATTGTGTCTTGTCTATTTAGACAGTATACTCTTAATTGCTGTGGGACTCCAGTGCCTATCAGATTGGGCACCAGAACTGGTTGCAGCTTCTAGGCAATACTGTAACACAAACAAATAATAATAATAGATTCATTGAGAAACAGGCTAAGTTTCATTGCTGGCTATCAGAATACTGCTGATCAATGCAATGTGCACAATAGATTTGTTCTGGTAAATTTCAAAGTGTGAACTGGCTTTTATTTTGGCATAATATCTCTCTAGACCTCTCTGTGTCCTTATCTGATGATTATCAAGATTTGGCCAGGTGATCAGAGAAATTTTGTAAGAGGGTAACTTTTTTCTGCTGTAATATGTTCCATAAGGATTTTCATTATACAAGGTGTCTCTTAGCAGGATTTGGAGTACAGACACGTTTCATTAACTGTATATTATTTTGCAGCATTTTTCTAAAATGGAAATAGAGATTAATATTAGCTGATATTTTATTATAAAATCTGGCAGTCCAAATACTGAATCCAAACAATGCTGTCCATTCATTTGCTAGCAACATAAAATCTAGATTGCTTTAACTTAATCAAGAAGAATGCTGAGTTCTTTGGAACTCTACAATCTATTGCAAACACTACATCCAGGTGGAGAAGCATGCCATTCACAGAATTAAAGCTTGGGTCATGTAAACACATCAACATGGGCTTAAGTATGCAGTAGTCCCATTGACTCCAAGGTCCACTGTTGGATCAGGGCCTAACTGAAAACAATTTAAGTGCTGAATAAACTTCCATCTTAATAAAATATACAATATTTCATAAGATAGTTGGGGCGAGCTTAATTCCCACTGGCACAGAATGGGTTAAATCATTTTGCCCTGAACTAGTTTGGCCCACTGCACCATATGGGGATAACTGTAGTGAAGGCTGGTGATGTTTGCACTGATGCCATTTCTCAGAGAATGGATGGCTTAATTTCTACCTGTGGCTTAAAAGGAATTTGCCAGCACAAGTGCTTAATCAGTGCACTGAATCAGCACTTTCCCTTCTTCCTAGCTCCTCTCATCCCATAATACACCCTTTTGGAACTGCATGATCCTGTACATTGCATTGCTGGCACGTGCCAGAATATCCCTTATGGAAATTAGTCCTTTCTTTCTAAAAACACTGACCTTTTAATCATTTTAAGTGACCCGTATTTTTATAAAGGCCTGGAAAAGTAGGCTTGTACCAAAAGTAGTAATGATGAAGACTTGGGAGATGTGCATTCAATTCTTAGCCTTGTATGACCTTTGTCAAGTTACTTAATCTACCTTCCGCCTAATTCCTTCTCTTTAATATAGAGATAATTCCCTAACTTACAGACACCTTGAGAGGATAAAATCCATTAATGATTGGTATCTGAGCTCCTCATGTAGTGATAACACCCAACTAAATATCTCTAGTACTGCCCCAAGAAATAAATAGGAGTGATACTGACAATTATTCTTTTGTAAATCTCGCTTCTGTCTCCAGTAACACAATCTATGTATTTTAGAAATGTGAATCTATCTATGTGTGTGAGCGTCCATTTATTCAAGAACTCCTAATGATAAATAGGACCAAATTTGTCATGTAGTTTCACACTGGCCAGTAGCAGCTGACACCCTGGCTTGTCTGGGGGAGCAGCTGCTGGCTACTCTGTGGCTCTTGCCACCCCAGGGCCAGCTGTGTAAGTCTTCTACTAAACAAATATGGAGAGAAAAAAGTTATTAAACACGTAAATGATAATGGAACCATGTGCAATAAGAAGCAATGATTCGTTCGTAAGTCTCAACAACGTGGGTGCTCTGGGGCTGGAGCATCCATGAGGAAAAAATGGTGCCCCCCTCACTTCCACCACTCCCCACAGTGGCCACCAGCAGACTCCATGGATCAGTGCCTCACCTTCCCCCATTCTGTGCCTACTACCTGCTGTGATCAGCTGTTTCATGGAGTGCAGGGGAAGGGGGGAAGAAGGGGAGAGAAGAGCCAGGACATGGCATGCTCAGAGGAGGAGGTAGAACTGGGCAGGAAGTGGTGGAGTGGGGGTGGAGTCTGGTACAAAGTCTGGCTTCAGCACCTCTGGGCAATTTGGAAAGTCAGCACCTATGGGTTCTTAAGAATTGATCTTGCCAGGTAACTTCAAACTTTTTAAAGAGAATTACTAAATAAATAATTAGCAAATGAATGAAAAGGAATACATAGAATCATTAGAATTTTAGTGAAGTGCTCACTAGAGTGTTTCAAGAAATTTTTTACAATATTTGTTCAAATCTGTTTGGGTGCATACACGGCCAGAACAAAACTGGTTGAAAGTCCACAAAGTTCTCTAGCATGAATTTCCAGGAAGTGTGTTAGATAGAACTTTGTGTAATGAGCTAAAAGAGGTAAGGAGAACTTTTATGAAATACTTGAATGGATGTTATCCAATGAGAAGAAAGAAAACATGAAGGAACCCAGGGATTTTGAAATCATGGACAAAAAATAACAAAATAAGACTAATCTTGCTAAAATGCAAACTATGATAACAGCAAAAAAAATCTGAAACAAATATATTCATTGGGAAAGAGAAATCTGGAAATGTTTAATGTTATCAAAGACTTAAGACCAAAATTTCAAAATTGCCAATGTACTTCCTAGTTATATAACAACATGTTGAAAACCAAGTAGTCATACCTATAGATGTAACTAACCCAGTACTGACTGTCAAAGAAATGATTAGTTCTGAGATGTGCTCTTAACGAAAGACGGATTTTTCATGAGATAGTCTAGAGAGAGAGAGAAGTCTGAATTTCTGCATTTATATAGTTAACTCTTCTTATGTACATGATAATAAGCTAATCCAATTAAAGCTATTTCTCTGTGTGACCCTAAAGAAGTCGAGAGCACAGATTATTTTCCATAGAGAAGACTCAGATATATATAAACACAAAAATAGAACTATTTGGAAACCTTGCCTCAAATCAGAAGTGCTAAATTAATTTACATAGCATAAAGGTTGACACACAAGAGACAGACCTACCCCCATCTAAAATAACGAGGAAAATTCAATTTATTTCTGCATATTGTCTTTTACCTTCCCAGTCTAGTTCATTGCCATTTCCAGTATATTCAAAAGAATCTGCTTCATCAGGTGTGTCAAGATCATCTACATTGATGTCAATTTCATCGGGGGTGTCCAGATTGTCATCGGAAAGGACAGATCCTTCACTCCGGTCCAAAGAAAGGTTGATGTTTGGAGCTGTGAGCTTTATTCTTCTGGGATGGGAACCATTAAGATCCAAAGAATTAGGTGGCTCTAAATAAATATGAAGAAAGAAAAAAGTATCCGTATCAAATTAAACTGCTCTATTGGACACTTCTGAATAGTGTAAAATGCTTTTAACAATGAGATTTTCTATCAACCAGTTATTTAAAATTGTACAATATAGAAAATAAACTGTAAAAAAAAAAGTTTATAAGAAACCAAAATAGAATTATGTTGTCAAAAAGGTCAAATGTTACTAACCGCTCTAAATTACATGACATTCCAATGACCTTAGTGGGATGCATATGGAAGCATCTCAAGACAGAATTTGGTCAAATAATTTTAGTATTAAACATATAAAAATTATCATGATATTTAAATAACAGATGAAGGATTTGTACTGTCAGACAGTAACATCATTATTAATCATAATTACTTTATGTTAAATTGTTCAAAATGGGATTTATCACTCTTGAAGAAAATACCTGAGTCAGAAAGTTCAGATCCGATTCCCACCTTTTCCAAATCAGTGTAATATTGAAATATGGGTTTACTTTTTTTTCTTACTATTACATAATAAAAATACATAATTAGTATCAATGTTGACTCCAGGAAGAATGAATAGACCTCTATGTATCTCTTATAGTATGTGTTTGGTGTTATTCTTATGGTATTGTTTTGTAAATTCTCTGCTCTGTATTTTTATGATTATATAGGGATTTCAAGAAAGTAGTTTTAGCAAACTCAGGGAGCTGGTACATAAAATCCCATAGGCAGCAAGAAAAACAGAAAATGTGGAAATGGCTGAGGTGCTTAATGACTTCTTTGTTCCAGTTTTCACTAAGAAGTTTGGAGGTGATTGGACATCTAGCATAGTGAATTACAGTGAAATTGAGGTACAAATTGTACCTCCGAAAATCGGCATTCTCTGGTCCGGCTGCCAGACCATGAATGCTCCTGGGCAGGAGGGCCAGACAGTGCTGGGGAAAACAGGGCTGGCAGCTCATCTGGAGGCAGTGCAGGACCAGGAATGGAGCCACCTGCAGCAGTGTAGGGTCGGGGCCACAGTCCCTAGGAAGCCCATGTTGCATGGGACCAGACCCCTACAGCAGCCCCTGAGAACATGCTGCTGGGACCAGAGTCCCATGGCAGCCCCAGGACTGCAGGGCACGCTGGAGCCCCATGGCAGCCCCCAGCAACATGGGGCCAGAGTCCCCCGGCACCCCTTGTAGGCGTCGGGCCAGAGCCCTGCAGCAGCCCCCTGGAGCATGGGAATGGAGCCGGAGCCCTGCGGCAGGAACCAAAGCCTGTGGTGCCCAGGGAACCAGTAGCAGCTGGGCAAACAGCCTAGCCAGTTTGGGGGGGAGGATGAGACAGGGTGCTTGTTGGTGCAGCCTGTCGGCAGCAGGTGGCAAGAGATCTCCCTGGTCTGGCACAAGCTCTTGTTCAGGACCAGTCAAGTCCCAAGGGTGCCTCACCAGAGAGGCCCAATCTGTTATATCAGAGGCTAAATAGGAAAAGAACAAGTTAAAAATTACTTGGACAAATTAGATGTCCTCAAGTCACCAGGGTCTGATGAAATGCACTGCAGAATACTCGAAGAGCTGACTGAGCCATTAGTGATTATCTTTGAAAAGTCATGGAAGACCAGAGAGATTCCAGAAGACTGGAAAATAGTACTATATTTGTTCATCTCGTTTTTAAAAAAGGGAAATAAGGAACAACCCAGGGAATTATGGACCAGTCAGCTTAATTTCTATACCAAGATAATGGAGCAGATAATCAAGGACTCAGTTTGCAAACATCTACATGACAATAGGATGACAAATAACAAACAGCATGGATCAGTCAAGAATAAATTGTGTCAAATCAACCCAATAGCTTTCTTTTGACATGGTAACAAGCCTTGTGGGTAATGAGGGAGAAGTGGTATATCCTGACTTCAGTATAGTTTTTGATGCTGTCTCACATGACATAAACTAGGGAAATGAAACCTAAAAGGAGCTATTATAAGATGGGTGCAAAGCTGGCTGGAAAACCATTCCCAGGCTAGGTCTAGATAAGATGGGTGCAAAGCTGGCTGGAAAACCATTCCCAGGCTACGTCTAGAATGCAGGAATTTGTCAGCAGAGGCAATGCAAATGAAGCGTTCATTAGCATTTCTCGTGCTGTCATTTGCATAATCTCTTCCAATCCTTTTTGTGAAGAGGTTTTTGTGCAAAAACAAGCAGTGTAGACAGGGCCATTTTGTGCAAAAAATCCCATTTGTGCAAGATCCTGTATACTTCTTTTTTGAGGCATACGGGATCTTGTGCAAATGGGGGCACAGGGGGAGCTATTATAAACTCAAATGACAGCCCCAGAGAGTAGTTTTCAATGGCTCACAGTGATTCTGGAAGGGCAGAATGAGTGAGGTCCATAGGGATAAGTTCTGGATCTGGTTCTGTTCATCAATTATTTAAATAATGGCATAGAAAGTTTGTGGATGATACCAACCTGGGAGAAACTGCAAGTGCTTTGGAGAATTAAAATTCAAAATGATCTAAATAAACTGGAGAAATGGTGTGAGGTAAATAGGAAGAAATTCAGAGGACAAATGCAAAATACTCCATTTAGAAAGGAATAATCAGTTGCATACATACAAAACAGCTTAGGAAGGAGTACTGCAGAAAAGGATCTAGGAGTCAGTGGACCACAAGCTAAATATGAATCAACAGTGTCATACTATTGCAAAAAAAAACAAACATCTTTCTGGGATGTATTAACAGAACTGTCGTAATATGACATGAGAAGTAATTCTACTATTTTACTCTGCACTGATTTAGCCTCCACTGGAGTATTGTGTCCAGTTCTGGGTGCCACATTTCAGGAAAGATGTGAACAAACTGGAACAAGTCCAGAGAAAAGCAACAAAAATGAGGAAAAGTTTAGAAAACATGACACATAAGGCAAGATGGGAAAATTGGATTGGTTCAGTCTGGAAAAAGAGAAGACTGAGAGGAGACATAGACACAACCATTTTCAACTATATAAAAGGTTGTTACAAGAAGGGGGAAAAAAATTCTCATTTACCTCTGATGATAGGACAAGAAGCAATGGTCTTAAATTGCAGCAAGGAAGATTTAGGTTGGACATCAGGAAAAACTTCCTAATTGTCAGGATAGGTAAGCAAAAGAATAAGTTGCTTAGGGAAATTGTGGAATCTCCGTCAGTGGAAATTTTTAAGAGCAGGTTAGACAAACACCTGACAGGGATGGACTAGATGGTACCTGGTCCTGTCATGATTGCAGGGACTGGATTAGATGGCTTCTCGAGGTCCTTTCTAATCCTATTATTCTATGACAAATTCTGTACACTGACAGTTATAGATGTGCAACATAACCTTGTTCCTCCTTGTTGGGTGTAAATGAAGGAATTCTCAATCAATTAAAATACAAGATGGGCATGGATTCTTTCCTGCTACTGCATTTTTAAGCAAGATTTTAAGCTATTTTCTTTGGATTCATGTATTTTAATACTGAACTCACCCCATTTAGACTGAAGTCAAATTTAGAATACTTAAGGCAAAGTACTTAATTATCACAAGAACTAAATGCATTAACAGATGACACTAGGACAAAAGGGGAAATATGTGGCAGACTGCTTAATTTTTATCGTTCGTCACGTGAAATAAAGAATTAACTAAATAAAGAATTATTTCTAACACTGAAAAATGCCTTACACCAGCATAGAGACTTTCTTCTCACTGAATAATTAAATGCCATGCAACTCAGACATAACTGAATGAATGAATAAATGCTTATCTTACCAGGCCTGATCTCTGCAGCATCGGGACTTAGTACACCCTCCTCAAGGGGGATGTCCATTCCCACATCCTCTGGTACCAATCTGGGAAAACAAAAAAAACCAAAGCAAAATATTAAGTTGGCATATTTTCTAGGCAAGATGACCAAGTTCAAAAGATGATTTGATCCAATTTGTGGCACTGTTTTTCTTCATTGATGTCTAAGTTTTTAATAATTTATTTGCAAACTGGCTACAATAATACAGTGATGACCAAAATGTGGGCTGATAGAACATATTTATATAGCAATTAGTTACCTTCATTGATGATGATTTAGCAAAAATGTAGTATTTTAGTATTGGTATAAGAATATAAGTTGTATGCATAATGATTTGCTTAAGTTCTGTATGTTTCTATTTCACCCTGTCTCTCATGATTAGATGTTTACTGTAAGGTCTTGCTTCCTGTTAGCATTACAAAGTAAGCTGTACTCCTTGTCTGTAGCAAAACTAAGTTGTGGACGATTCCTTTCTTTTTGTTGTTCCTTCAGTAACTATTTATCTTGTCTGAAACGCTGCAAAATTATTTGATGTGTGTGCAGAATGTGTGAAAGTATGAAAGCCATGACAAATGCCCAGGTGGTCAAGATGAAGACTGAGTCTTGAAGATAACCAGGAAACATCTACAGTAGAGTCTCGATTATCCGACCTTCCTTTATCTGACATTCCGTGTTATCCGATCTGCCTGTGGCTGCCCAAGCCAATTGTGCAGGCGGCTGAGCCGGCAGAGCAGAGTGTGGAAGGGAAGGCGCCGGGCAGTGCGGAGACAAAGGCGGTGAGAGAAGAGGGAGGAAGGAGCAGAGCCATGTGGCAGAATGCCAGAGCCCAGCTGCCACCACTCCCTGAAGGTTGCAGGGCGCTCCAATCTCCCCCATCCCCTCTGGCCAGCCGTGCTGCCCCTGACCTCCCCTGTCTCTCCTGACCAGTCGCTCTGCCCCCGACCCCTCTCTCTCCCAGCCAGCGATCAAGAAGGTCGGGGGCAGCACGACTGGCCAGGAGAGATAGGGATGGGTGAGGGCAGCGTGGCTGGCCGGGGGAGATCAAGGAGGTCGGGGGCAGCACGACTGGCCGGGAGAGATAGGGGAGGTTGGGAGAGCGCGACTGGCCGGGAGAGATAGGGGAGGTCAGGGGCAGCACGGCTCCCCATGAAGCAGCCGAGTGTCTGCAGAGTGGCAGATGACAGAGAAAATACCTTGGACACCGCAAGGTATTTTCCGTATTAGCCGACATTTCGATTATCCGACCATCCTTCAGTCCCATTTAGGTCGGATAATCGAGACTTTACTGTATTATGTCTGAGGCTGAATTGATTTGGCAGAACTGAGCAACCCTTGAAACAGGCAGACCCCCTCAAGAGTGAGATAAAAATAAGAGACAATGATTGGCAGCCTGACAATAATCATCAAAGAATAACTGTGGAAAATCTGGAGATTAAAATGTTTTAAGAATGGGTGTAGCCAGACAGGAACGCCCCTCCCATCCCCACCCCTCCCCCTGCAACATCCATCTTTGCTTGCCTGGAAGCATGCAAGGCACACAGAGCAGTAAAACACCATAGTCTTTGAAAGCCTTGAACAGGAGGCCCAGATATGCTAGCTCACCCAGCGACCCTGGACAACTGTAAGCAGACATAAGAGGGTGGTCGAACTAATGGCTGACTAAGAGGCTGCCGAGGAGTGCCCTTGACTGAAACCCATATTGATACGAACACACACTGTCCAGGGAGAAGAATCTCCCGCCCAGTAAAAAATGTCCAGTACTCACAATTTAGTCATCTCTCTTGCAAGTGTAAATTAAGTTGAAACTCCCTTGTAAGAACTGGCATCACAAAGATGGACCAACACAATTTGGCATCTTAAATAAGAAAGAGGATACGGGCCCCTATGGGTATAAAGATGGGTCCAGCAGCACACTTACTCTGAGCATCAATCTACCATCTATCTGCTGGTTGGATTAGGTGATTGGCCTCCCGAGGTTCCATGGGGACGCCCACCTCGTATTCGTCTTTCCTAGGAATTGAGGGACCGGCCCTGGCCTGATATGCTGGAGTCAAGAGGCACAGAAGGGGGTAAAAATTGTACCTGGATGTGGTCCTTTGTCTCAAGTGTACACATAGACTTAGAGCTCTTTAAAGATTAAGCTATCACTTCTATTTCTATTTTCTATCTTTATTTTCTTTGTAACCATTTTTAAGATCTATATTTGCTAGCAGTTAAGAAATAGAGCAATAGCCATTGTAACCATATAATTTATAAGCTTCTTTAATAAACCTGTAACTGTTTAAGCTTTAACCTGACTCCTTCAGTTGCTGTAACAGAACCAAGCACAATTTAAAAGAATTTCAGCCGGTCATAAGGAACAGATATAGAAAGAGCTGGGGCATTTGGATCGTGTCGCTTCCAGAGGAAAGATCCGTAAGGGCATCTCTCAGTCTTCCCTAGGCTGCCCACTGCGAAGGGATCCTGTATCCTAGCGGACAAAGACACGGACGTTAAAACTCCTCGGGGCGCCCATCAGTCTCTCCTAGACTGCACACTGCGACGGGGCCTTGTGTCCCAGCAGTTGAAGACTCGGGTGTAACACACACACACAGACTGCCCTGACCATTGGCTGACAATGGGTTGTGCCCATGAAAGCTCATGATACTATTTATATCTTTTTGTTAGTCTGCAAGGATACTTCTACACTATAGAGGAAGATCAAAGCTGCCGATGTCCTTCTTCCAGAGTACGCATTAGCAGTCTAGTTAAGACAGCTAATTCAAAGAGAGAGGGGCACTCTGGTCAATGCTGGTAACCCTGCTTTCATGAGGAGCAAGGGAAGTCAAAGGAGGAGTGTGAGGAGTAAGGGAAGTCAAAGGAGGAGTGTCTCTCTTTGACTTCCTGCAATGTGGACAGCCCCAAAAGCTGAGTTAAGGTACTTCAACTTCAGCTATGCAATTAATGTAGCTGCAGTTACATGTCTTAATTAAACCTTTTCCCCACAATGTAGACATACCCTAAGGCTCTATAGGACCACTCTTTTTTAAGCTTTTTTTAAAGTTACAGACTAACACAGCTACTCCTCTGTGACTTTTAAACACCCCTATTAGTTACACTCAAGTCATTTCCTTCCTTCACGGCCAGAAGAGGTAAAAACCTGGTGGACGGGGCAGGGGAGAGGTAGAGTGTAGAGACGTAGTGTCCCCCTACTGTATCATACACTTATTCCTCACACTCGAGTACTGCATAAAGGGGCATGTTAACTCACTGCAGTGCTATCACCCGCAGTATTGCAGGATTTTTGTAAATAAGTTATTGCTGACATTCTTTGCATTAACGACTGGAATTCTTCCTCCATGCTATGAGGAGAACCTGCAGGTCACAGCTAGGTTGAGAGCCCATCCACTGGCACTGGGCTTCCTCAAATGTCAGCAGAATCCTCTGGCAATGGAGAAACTCCAGTCTACACGTGACAAGCTGTTTCCACTCCTTTGCCAACACAGGGAAGAATACATTGGAAACCCACTGTATCCATGCTCAAAGAATTTCCTGGCACACAAGATGACGTTGATCACAATATTAAGAAATTAGAGAATGTTTTTTCTTTCCTGTAAATGCTCCTTGTTGAAGGAATACCCAGCTGCATTAGAAGCTCCGTTCTCATCATGCACGATTTACTGGATTGATAAAAAGATGTTTTCCCTTGAAACCGAGGTCAAAATAAATTAAACTCTTTGTGCCCTAAATGACTTCTTTTGTGTGGTACACAGACCATTCATTCAAGGATCAGCTGCATTACGAGTCAGGTTACGGGATGTTAGCTTTAATACATCAGTCCTGCAGACTTGCACAAAAGTAAGTCCAAAATTGGGTATTTCTTAAATGTAGTTCAGAGCCAGATATCAGTTTTGTATGAGAGGAGATGGGGATGGGGAAAACTGACTTGCAGCTAACCTCCTTTTACATTCTTTTTTTATGGTTTAGTCAGCCATATAATCTGATGAAACAATCTCTAGGTGCTCTTTAGTTTTCTACAGTCTCTCCATGAAGTCTCTGAAAGCCTCTTAGTGATCGAGGGCATTTTTTATTCTGAGTGGGTGTTCCCCTTCAGATGTGGTGTCTTAATGCTGATTTTGGCCATCAGCTTTTGCAAATATCTGCCCTCCATGTTCATATTATGTCATAACCCCTGTGGGTTGTGCCCTGCCCTGGGTCGGGCTACATACATGTGTGGTTGATAGGTCTCAGAAAATGAGGCGCACTCCTCATCCCCCAAGCAGCTAGTTCTGCAGATTCTATCTGTGGAGAATTTATTGTTTTGATTTCTTTTTCTCCATGAGCATTAAGCTGCCCATCTTTTCAGCCTGACTATCAGCCCAAATATGTATGTGTCTACAGCCTCTGTAAGTGGCCAAGTTTAACAAATGACAAATGGATCTTCTTTACACTGGGCCCTCCTTTGCCACCCATCACAGTTCATTTGCTGTATGGACTTCTGACTCTCCAGTTTTCTGTGCCCCAGAGGTTGTGTGACTCTTAAGCTGGAGAAGGCCCTAGGGCAGAAAACAGCATATTGATATTTTCTAATTTTTTCATAGAGTTTTCAGATTTTCCTCTCCTATGCTCAGAAATGCATGTATTTAATTTTACCTCTAAAGGGCACTATGTCCAAGGCTTTTAGAAAGTGATCAAAGAAAGGTAAATGCAAAAAGTGCCACACCAACAAATACAAATAAAATAAAAATGTTGCTAATCCATGTTTGTTTTGAAAAATAATAATGGTAAAACCGGGGATACAAAATACAAAGCGAATGTTATTTAGAGAGGAGCCTGGAAAATTAGACATATTAAAAACAAGCAAGCTTCTCAAATTTCATAGATAACCCAGGTGCACCATGGCTTTGCAATAAACAGACTTGCTTAGTGCCTGTTGTCTAACAAGATCACAGAAAAACATGGAGCTTTTGGAAGGTGAATGGATTCATTGTGAGATACTCAACAGATATAAAAATAATTTTATGGGATTTGAGGGCTCTATTACCTCAGCCTGATGGATCAAGAACA